GTTTTTCTTAAAATACGTTTGAAATCGATTTTGAGGGGCTTGGACAACCACCACCTCTTGGGTTTTGGGAAAAACGGTTTTGAGAGGGGCTATCGAAGATGCCACCTCTGTTGAGGTAGGTGCGACATCAAGATGATGTTGCTGATAGATTTGTTTGGTTTCTTCGGGAGAGATGGGTGAGGGTAGGATGCCACTTTGGCGTTTGAGTATTTGAAAGAATTAGTTTAGAAGGGGAAATTGTTGAGGAAGTTGAAGCTTCAGTGGGAAGTTTTTGTTTAGAACCAGAAACGGTAATAAATTTTTGAAGGTAATTTTGGGATTCAAAAGGAAGCTTATCAATATTGATTAAAGCTTTGGATGAAGTTAAGTGTGAATCAGAATCATCAGAACTTTCTTCATACTCACTTGAATGATCAGGGCTTCCTTGTTCATCATCAAATATCTCTCTCCATGTTTTGATTTTGATTTTCTCTTTATCTGGCAATCTAGTGGTAGGGGGCATTATGACTGGAGATTGCAAGCTTGAGAGTTTTCCGCACTTCGTCCTCCCTGCAAAACTTCCCGAGTAAGGAAGTCTGGAAGATAGTTTGAAGAACCATTTATATATTGTATGTTGAAATAAAAAATGCTAAGGATGGCTTGCCATCGTGCAAATATTTGTTTAGAAGCAAGGTTTTGAACATCTTTTTCCAAAATGTATTTTGCTGATTGGCAATCAATGCGTAGTAAAAAATTTTGATTTAGCAAATCATGCTGAAATTTTGAGATGCATAAAACAATAGAAAGTAGTTCTTTTTTTACAGTGGAGTAGTTGATTTGGGTAGGGTTCCAATGTTTAGAAGTAAAGCGTACCGACAGCTCCTTATCATTCTGAATCTGCTTAAGGATTCCTCCATATCCTAGGTCAGAGGCATCAGTATCGATGATTTTAGGGAGAAAAGGATCACTTATGTGAAGGCACGGGAGACTCTGAACCTGCCTCTTAATTTGCTGAACTATTTTGGTATGCTGGTCACTCCAGGGAGGGGGACTCTTTTTCAATCTATCATGGAGAGGTTTACAAAGAAGATTGATGTTGGGATAAAATTCAAGGACATAGTTTAAACTACCCAGGAACTGTTGTAATTGATTTTTGTCTAAAATTTGATCAGGAAATTTATCTGCAAATTGAAGCGATCTTTCTATTGGAACAATTGTTCCTTGACTAATGTAGTGACCCAAAAAACGTATCTTAGTTTGAAAAAGACAAAGTTTTGGTTTAGAGACAGCCAGACCGTTACGTCTAGTGACTTCAAGAAATAGATTAAGATGTTTGAAATGTTGGTCAATGGACGAAGAAAAAACCAGCACATCATCAATATAAACTATTATGAAATGAAAATAAGGAGAGTAGATTTGATTCATAATTCTTTGAAATTCCGAGGGAGCATTTTTCAAACCAAACGGCATGACGTTCCATTCATATTGGCCAAAGGGAACGGTAAAAGCAGTTTTATAGTGGTCTGTTTCTTTGATTTGGATTTGCCAAAATCCGGATTTCATGTCAAATTTAGAAAATATTAGGGACTGTGAAAGTTTCTGGAGTAGATCCTTTTGGTTGGGGATAGGATACCTAATCCATTTCAGAGCCTTATTCAACGGTTTGTAGTTTATAACAAGACGAGGAACGCCACGTTTCTTTTCTGCATTATTAATGACATAGAAAGCAGAACAACTCCAAGGGGATTGGCTAGATCTGATAAGGCCCTTTTTGAGCAATTCTTTAATTTATTGTCGACAATGTTTTTCAAGGTCCGAATTCATTTGGATAGGCCTAACCTTGGTGGGAATGAGATTTTCATTGAAATCTTTTTCGTAAGGAAGATCAACCTGATGTTGTTTTTTATGCCAAAAAGCATTGGGTGTATCAGCACAAATAGAGCTTTCAATGTGCTCTTTTAAAGAGTTGATTCGTTTTTGCAAAAGGGGTTGAGAAAGCTGTTGTAAGATTCGCTGAAAATGTATCTCATCGTGCAAATAAGATATTTGATTAGTTTTACAACGAATTATATGGTGTATATATTTTATAGAAGAACGTCGTAAAACATTTAGGTTTCGAACTTTTGGTTTTTGGAGAAATGAGAATTCAACATTGTTGCCTAACACAACAGTGTTAATTCCTTGGTCGGTGACGGTAAAAGGTTTTAGAAGATTTAGAAAAGGTGTCCCTAAGATCACCTTTTGTTGCATGTCACGAACTAGGATAAAAGGAGTTTTGAATTCAACATTTTGATGACAAATTAAAGCATTAGAAAGTTTATATTGTATTTGAAGAGGTTGAGAGTTAGCGGTAGATAGACGCTCGAGGGTCTTTTCATAGTACTTAGTTGGAATTAATCCTTCTTGGATGCAGTTCATGTCTGCTCCTGTATCAAGAAGGGCCACTGTGCTTAAAGTAAAATCAGAAGAAACCTGAATATTAATGATAACATACCATTTTTGAGTAGTAATGGTAGATAAAAAAAACATAGAAAATCGTCATCAGTTAGCATTTCCTCTGTTTCTAAACTGTTGGTTGCATGAGGATTTTCATCGAAAAAGTTGTCGGGGCTAGATGTTGATGGCTCTTCTAAAGGTTTGAGAGCTATTAAAGTTTGTAATATCTCATTATCACTATTTTGTAACTGTCGTAATTGTTGAATTTATTTCTTAACAATATCCAATTCCTTTTGGAAGTCAGGAAGAGAAGGATTGTGGAAATCGTTATTACTATGTCGAGAAAGGATATCTTTGACACTATACGTTGAACCTTGATGAAAGGGATTGGTAGGTGGAATAGTCACAGGAGGTTTCTCCATGTGCTCATGAAACTTTTTGAAATATTTTTCTTTGAGATGAGGATTATCAATATTATTGATTAGATCTAAGATAAGCTCTTGATCTTTGGTTAAAACATTGATAGAAGATTCAGAACTTTCATCGATGTCATCAAATTGTAAGGCCTGAAGATTCTCATCATCATCAGAAGAAGAAGAAGAAGAATCCTCATGAGAAGAGTAGTGTTGGAGAAAAAGATTATTGATTTTGTCATGAATCTCTTCATCAATATTAAGCTCATTGAGCTTCTTTTTTATACGACAATATTTGGAAATATGACCTGTTTTTCCACAACGAAAACAAGTAATGTTTTTATTTTTATTGTTAGATCGTGGTCCCTTATCTGGGCGGGAATTCCAAGAGAAATGGGATTTTTGATTCGTGGTTTTAAAAGATCGGTAGGGACGATCGCGATGTTTTTGATGAGGTTTGGTGCTACAATCCTCACAGTTAGATTTGGAAGAAATTTTTGAATAAGATTCATCAAACTGAGCACAAAAAGATCCCAGTTCTTTTCGAGTTAGTTTTTGTTCGCGTTTGATTTGTTTTTGAAGTTTTAAATCATGGCAAATTTGTAATCCTTCTTTTTGTATAAAGCTAATAAGTTCTCCGTAAGTAAGTTGCTCATAAGGAATTTGACCATTAAAAGTGTCTTGGATTTTGTTTCGGATTTTATCTCCTAAGAGACGGGGTAAACCGGCTAAAAACTTTTCTTTCAAAAATGGTTGATTACCATCTTCTCTTTGCATAACCCTAGTTAAAAAGGTATCTTTGTACCATCGGAAGTAATGAAAATTTTTACAACGAAGATTAGAAAGTAGTTCGGCATTTTTATCTTTAAGATGTGAAAATTGTTACTATTCATTAGTAGCTCCACCCTACATTAGTAATGAACAATAACTGAACCCAAATACATTAAATAGTTAACTAAATTCAACACAACATCTAGACCACTACACTACAACTCCTCTTTTGAAACAATTACATATTGACAAACTTTTAATCCTTGAACGCTAAAAATTCTCAATAACTTTGGACGACCATAACTTTGTGATTCAAAATCCGAATGTCATAACTTTTTTATTCCGCATCTTTTTAATACTACAACTTTTATCATAGTCATAAATTCGGAATGTACATGGATTTCTGAAATGTAAAGGTAAAGTTATTCCCAAGATCCCGTATATCCAAAACTAATTTCTGTTTTGAAAATGTCATCTTAGTAAAAACTTGTAGATCTTAAAAATTCATGCTGAATTAAAAAAAAGTTTGTGACTTTCGGATTTTGTAGCACAAAGTTATGGCCGTCCAAAATTTGATGAAATCAGAAAAAAGCTCGTTCGGGGTAGGAAACGGTGTTTTTTCGCGACGGAGGGGAGACCAAACCGCCTATGGCCGTTTGCGGCTTGCTAGATCTCGAAAAGTTATGCGGATTCAAAAAAAAATTGCTACGATAGGATACCCGAGTGCAAAGTTACGTTCGTTTGAAGTTTCGGCCGAGGTTAGGAGTTGATCGGAAAATTTTTTTTTGACCAAAACCGTGCCCCCCCCCCCCAACCCCGCGGTTTCCTTGTAAACCGTAGGGTGGGTGGTGGTTTTCGGAAAAGCGTGGTATTTTTGAATTTTTTTGGGGTTGGGTGGTATTTTTGTAATTTTTTTTAAACAGTGCTATTTCTGGAAAAAGTCCTAGTTTATGGACCTAATTAATAATATCGTATCATGACAAATTGAAACTCGTAGATTAAACATAGTATTATACTATTCTTTCTCAAATTAGTTTTCATATTAACTAACGAGGAATTTTACAATGCTATATAGTATTGGTGCTATAGGTTTTTGTCTTTATGGTACAACTTGAAATTGTACATTTAACGTTATGGTACAACTTTGGATTATGCCTATACTGTTTGTACAAATTCTTTTATGGTACAACTTGAACTTGTACCTTTATGTGATGGTACAACTTCAAGTTGTAAAGTTGTACCACAACATAATGGTACAAATTATTTTATGGTACAATCTAAACTTATACATTTCATGTTATGGTACAATTTTAAGTTGTACATTAAAGCACCAATACTATATATCATAGTAGAATGCTCATTAACTAACAAAGAAAATTATATCTACTGCACAACTAAGAATCAAATTTAAACAAAATTCATCTATTTATATATTACATATAGATTCATATTGTCAACAAACTAATTCTTATCAGTTACAAAAGATATTCTTATTTTACCCGAAGAATTTGAATTAGTCCCCTGATTGTATTTCGCCAGAAATGAAAGAAAAATAGAGAAGCTATCTATGACACTTTGATAGTCAATAAACTAATTTTTTTGTCAATGTAAGTGGTACATTGCTAAAATATGATAGATGTAATTTGGTTTAGTGCGTCCTTTCTTAGCCTTTTTCTTCTTGAAGGCATCAACCAAATATCAATCACCATCGAAGAACGAGGCAGGATTATATATATGTTGTGGAAAGGTTGGGGCTAATAACTATCTTCGGCCGGTTGTTATTGTTTTCCATGTTCTTTCTCTAACAATCCCTGTAGACCAAAATCCACCTCTTTAATTAAAACTGGATTCGATTGAGCAACATAACACATAGAGGGAAATGAGAACATGTAGCTTACGATGAGTCGTCCTTATGGGTATCAGATTTGAGAAATTTGAGGAGAGCAATAAAACCACAGAAAGCAGCTGCTCCTCCCAACACTAGCGCAATTGTTTTTGCTGTTGCACTTTTACTATTATCGCTGCTATCTGCAAAATTACATGAGAAATTTGATTGGTTAGTAGATCAAGGGTTAGTTTGACTCTGCTGTAACTTTTGAAAAAGTAGATTTTGTTTGGAGTTTGTAGAGAAGTACTTTAAAAAAAATTGAGTGTTTGACTAATAAATCATTAAAAGTGTTTTTTAATATGAGAGGTTGTGTAAAATGACTATAAAAAACTTATAACATAAACTATGAATAAAAATTCTAAACAATAAAAAGTAGTAAAAATGGATATTGTTAGATTTCTTTCATATTAATAATTTGATTTTATAATTTAATTTATGTTTAAAATAATATAAATGAATAAAAATTGGAGCTTCTGCTTTTATGTTATACAAAAGCGTTTTTTCGGCTTTTCAAAAGTCCAGCTTTTAGAGGTGTTTAGCCCTGCTTCAACTTTTGAAGCCGAAAAACACTTCTAAAAGCTGGGTCAAACATAGGCAAAATCAATGCAGTAAAAGATACTATTTTACATAAAAGTGTTTTGGTGACACAGAAGCATAACAATGCAACTTTTTAATATTTCGAATGTGATTGGGGTTCGTTTGGAGAATTTGTGTTTAAATCACTTAATTTTAAACAATCACTAACTCTTTTGGATTGTTGAAAAAGATTTCAAAATGTTCAATGCTTGGTAACTGCGATTGAAACATTTCATTAAGAATGAAATTTCTATTTTTTAGCTAATGACAACTTTACCCTTAACTAAAAGAATTAGAATAATTCGATATATATTTGAGAATTTATTGCTATGGGTATTTGGTGGAATAAATAAAAAACGAAAGTGATAAAATAATAGAAAAAACGCACTAATCAATATATACAATCTATTTGATTATGAGATATTATATCTCTAAAGAGATTTGAAATTTCTAAAAATCTTGGATAAAAAAACAACAATTTTTTTTTTAACTTTCTAATAAATTTATGGATTCAATGAATCCATTAGTCTAATCTTTTTTCCAAACGAACCCTAAAGCGCAATTTTTAGTGGACGAGATTAATGAGACTATATAAAAAAGGTTTAATCGGCTGACCTTCGGAATCGTAGCTATAGCTGAGAAAGCATTTACTCAAATACACTTCACCGGCAACAGAGCTACCGCATTTCTCCTCCGCGATCTCCGCCGCGGCATGGACGCATTGGCCGCAATCGCAAGCCCCCAAACCCCCTTCGCACTGCGCCACCACTTGCACGTGCTCGATCTCCTTCTCGCAGAACCCAACCTCCGCTTTCGCCAGCTGCGCCTCCACCGCCGCGAAAGCCGCCTCCCTCGCCGTCCTGAAATCGCTGGAGCTGTCGCTCTTGCTGCTGCATTTCTCGTGGAGCAGCTCGTACTCGTAATCATCGTTTCTCCCTCCGCCGCCCTCCGACGGCCAGAGCTCATGTTCCGGAAACCCATCGGTTTCGTAGCGCAGATAGCAACCCGAGAGCTGGACCCTCGCCGCGACAGCTTGCCCGCAGCGGCTGCTCAATGTCTCCGGAAGCCCGCCAACGCAGTGTTGGCAGTCGTCGTTTCCTAGATCGCCTCTGCATTGGAAGAGGCCGGAGATCCCTAGGTTCTCGTTGCCTGCAGTGGATTTGAAGAACTTGGAGCGAGAAGACTCCGTGAGGAGATGTTGGTAAAGCGCGGAAAGTGTTCGATGATATGCCTCACTGGCGCCCGTGAAACTCTGATTTGCGCATTTGGTGTATAACAAAGAGCTGAAGTCTGAACTGGTTCCAGAATATGGGTTAGAATGGCCAAGACACATAAGCAATAGTAAAACCCAGAAGATGGGTTTCAATGTAGAACCTGAATCCATCAAGGAGTTTTGCTCTGTTCTTTCTTATGGGACTCTGTTTTGTTTCCAGGGGAAAGTAGAGGAGGGCTGAAGGAAGCTCATGTGCTGTTGAGGATAGTGACCCAGAATATGGTTTCAGAGTGGTTCTGGTGAGAAATCTTGATGGGTTTTTGCTCGAGCCAATCAAAATATTGGGCAAGAAGTGTGTGCCTCTTGTGAAATCTGCAGCCATATATGTTTGGGGAAAGTAGTTGGTGTGTGCTGCCGAATTTCCAACCTAAATCCATCGATCTGTGAAGGTAGGAAGTCAAAAAAGAAGCAGGACGAGAATGGGCAGCATCCAGAATTTCAAACCAATAACATCCAATATAGGCTCTTTTGTTGCTTGGGAAGGATCGAATTGGTTGGTAGCCTGACGACGAAAGGCAGACGGTGACCGATGCTGAAACCACACCAATATTGTATGCTGTGAGACTAATTGACTGCAATCTTCTTGTTCATCTATAAGCACCACGCAATCATCGCCAAACCCACTTGAGGATTTTGTAGAGTATAAATTGTTTGCTTGTGGCCTAGAAAACAGGGATTGGCAGGATTTTGTGTTAAGTGACAGGTACATCGTGGTCTTTTTTATTATTATTATTATTATTATTATTATTATTATTATTATTATTATTATTATTATTATAATATTGTAGGACTAAAGACCTGCATCGGCCCCAAATTCCAAACATTAGCCCTCTCTCGGACTAGTTGATTTCTCAAGAAGCTTTGTATCGTATGAGTCGAAGAGGATGCTCATTATGTACATTCCCACGTTTCCATATATAAATGAGTTAAATTAATATATTATTAATCAATTAATTAATAATATATAATAATAATAATATAAAAATATATAAAAGCCTAATATGGGAGTTACTATTCATTAGTGGATCTCACACTCCTTCAAATGCAAGTGGAGAAATTCCAAATTCTTCTTTTATCCACCCTACAACCTTTGTGTTTAGTTATTGTTCGCTAGATTTTCGTCTATGACTTTTTGCCCAAATCATTGCCTTTGCCCCCACCATTTTGCAGCCCATCTTGAAATACTGTCGGTGGAATCCTAAGTTGTTCCCCACCATCGTTTCCAAGGCCGCTACCACGAGTTTTGTATCCGAATCGAGTTTCATACTCTTTAGTATTTTTATCTTTTTTTTTTTCCTATTTGTTGAGCATGACAACAATTGAACCCAAACATATGGGTATCCTAACTTGAACACAAATTATCGCATTTGCCCACCATTTTGTAGCCCATCTCGAAATACTGTCGGCGTAATTCTAAGTTGTTCCTCATCATTGTTTCCCAAGCCCGGTACCACAAGTTTTATATCTGGACCGAGTTTCATCCTCCTTAGTGTTTTGTTATTGTTCGTGTTTGTGCCACAAACCACCCGTCCCGCCTATTCGTGACTTATGAGGACCAACCACCGTTGGGGCGCCTGAACCCTGCACAAACAAGCGCCTAGTGGGCTTCCTGATGCCCGTTAGCACTCCGACGCTCAAGTCAGTGCAAATTCTAGAGAGATAAGTGCTAAGAGAGATTTTAGTGAGAGAAGCCGACATGCTTAAATGCTACCTACCGGGCACTATTTATAGTCGTCGAAGCTCCAACCGTCTTCCTGGCATTCAGTTCCACGTCACCACCTTATTTAATGCTCGGTACAGTACACTGGTCAGGCGCCTGTACGTGGCAGCTCCAGGACGTCCCAAAAGGGCGCCACCATTTCTTACTCATAAATAGGCGCCTAAGCTGATGGCTCTACCCTCGATTCCACCTGAGTCCATGCCTTGGGCGCTTGTTTCGCTCTTCCGTGGAAAGCCAGGCGTCCAACCTTCTGCACGCACCTACTTCCGTTCCTCTCTAAGTAGCGCGCCACCATTTCTTACTCATACATAGACGCCTGAGCTGATGGCTCTACGCTCAATTCCACCTCAATCCCTACCCTGGGCGCTTGTTTCTCTCTTCCGCGGGAAGCCAGGCGCCTAACCTTCTGCACACACCTACTTCCGCCCCCCTTTCACCGTGCGCCTTGAAATTTGAATTTCTATTAATTTAAGATTTTGAATTTTGAAATTCAAATTTTAAATGTATAGTGAGGATGAAATCTAAGGACCGGGCGCGCATCCCCATTGTTTCCCGTTGGGCTTCTCTTCCTATAAATACAAACATCCGCCTCCCTTCTTCCTCATTTGCACCGAAATTTTCTCTCTCTAACATTCATTCGAGCCGCCTGTGCGCCTACTCTCACAAAAGCAACTAAACCAATCCGATGTCTTCCAAGAAGAACTCGGGCGCCTCCTCCGCCGACGCGGCAAAGGGCAAGAACTCGGCGTCTGATGTCATAAAAGAGTTGGAGAAGCACTTTTCGCCAGATCCTAACCGTGAGTCTGACGGATGGACGCCAAGGGGGAAGAATCAGGCGCTTGCCAAGGGTGGTTCGTCAGCGGCGGCGCCTTCGAACCCTAATCCGAGTAAGTGTTCGACTAACTAACTCACCCTCCTTTTTTTTTTTTTGCGAATTTTTGGTAGGCGCCCATAGTTGTCTAGGATTTAGCATTGACGTTGCCCCGTTTGCATCGACAATTATAGGCGATGCGCCTGGATCCCCACAATCGTCTAGGTTGGTGATGTCCCTGATGTCATCAGATTCAGGCGCCCCCGAGGATGGATCCGTGAAGATGAGGAGATGGGTGGATACTTGGCCATCGGGGAAGACGCCTCTTGAAACTTGTCATTTAACCGTAGTTGAAGCGGGGCCCTTACATGTTTATACCGTGAAAGTAATTGAATTGGAAAATCTGGCTGTGTCTTTGGAACTCCCCCGCTCATTGTCCTTTGCGCCTGCGCCGCGCGTAGCAAGAGTTAGAGTTGTTGAACCCTGTTGGTTGGGGATTTACTGAGAATATTTTCGTTTTGGGCTCCGCTTCCCCCTAGATTCGATTCTCGAAGGCATATTTTCGACCTGCAAATGCTCCATTTGGCGCCTGTCGCCCTCTGTCTTTCTTATCCATATTCTGTTCAAATTGAAGTGTCGGCAGCACAACGTTGAACCCACCTTTAAACTCTTTTATCACTTCTTCACCATGGCTGCTAGCGAAAATTGCCTATCCCTTCAAAGGCGCATAGACATCCCCGGCTACTTTCTCTTAGAATGCCCAAAGCTAGGGAGAGAGTGGTTTAGGAGTTTTTCTTCATTAAGGCGCACAAGGAGTCTTTCTATGAGAGTGGCGCCTCGTTCACTAGAGGCTGGGTGGTTGGCGACCACGAGGCGTTTAACGTTGATGTGCCCTTGTCCACTACCGAGGAGAGAGAAGGCGTCCGACTTCTGTCCTTGCATCCCGTAAATTTGCGCTCCACCGCCGCTAGGACGCCTGTGCTACACGAGTATTATCGCGACGATGGGCGCCTAGTTGCAATGTGTTAGTGCGTAACTCTTTTTCTTTTCTTTACACTGCTGACACGTTGTTTGTTTATGTCTACTCGAGCAGGTGTGGAATTCACCTCTGTTGCCACCCTAATGAAGACGAAATTCGCCAAGTTGGGATTGGTGGCCAAGCAGGCGCCTAACTCGAGGAAGGGTGGGAAAAAATCTGGCGAGGCGGCCAAAACCACTTCGTCAAAGGGTGTGAACACCATCAAAGCCGGCGTTGCTACCTCGGAAACACAAGCGCCTGCCAAGGGCATGGGGCGCACAAGCCGGAAGGCGAAATCCCCAAAAAGGATTAAGCCTAACAAGGTTCCCAGTCCATCGGCGCCGGAGTCTTTAGGCAATTTATTGGAAACATGGGATGCACCTCATGCCACCGAGCCCACAGATACTCAGGCTCCTGTTGTGTATCTGTTGGAGGGGTCAGACTTTGCCGAAGATGACGAGCCTTTGGCCGCCAGGAAAAAAAGGAAGATGGAGGGCTCCCAAGGCGAGTCGGACAAGCGCCCGCGACTAAATGAGGATGTAGAGCTGCCGGAGGGTCTGGAAAAGTGGCTTCAACCTCCGAAGCACAAAGTAAGCTTGGTTTACTCCGATAGGTCTACATTGGAACGGGGAGCCGCCCTTCACATGGTTTTAGCTGCCGGAGACGTGCTCAGGGCGCCTTTGGACTTGGATGGCGCAGATCCATGGGGCGAGGTGGCGGGGATAAACGCCCATTTAAGTGTACTGCCTTATGTGTTTTAATTAACCATCCTTGTTTAGGTGCCTGACTATCTCAACCTGTTATACCCTCTTGCAGATGATGCTAGTGGCCAAGAAGGGCATAATGGAGCGCGAAGCACTGCGTGCGGCGGCCAACGAGGCCACCACCTCTCTCGGCGTGGCGCAAGACAATCTCGCGACGTCCTAGAGGCGCTAAGAAGAGCTGATAAAAATGTGCGAGGATGCACAATTTGAGGCCGCGAAGAGCGCTTCACTTATGCAGAAAACGATTGACGAGGAGAAGAGGAAGCTGCGCGAGGAATATGAGGCGCAAATTGAAGATGAGAAGAGGGTGCATAAGGAGACTAAGGTTAGGCTGGAGAGGGAGAAGAAGGACTTGGAGAATGAGTCGGGCGCCTATAGGAGTGAAATCGATCTCCTTAAGGAAGAGAAGGGCGCCCTGAAGAAGGATAACAAGAACTTGGTCCGAGAGAATAAAAAATACATGGCGGAGATTCAGGCGCTCCGCGAAGAAAAGCAGGTGCTTGAGACGGAAAAAGAGGTACTCGAGGCGCAATCCGTGGACTTTGCCAAGTCTAGTGCTGGTTAGGCGCTCAAAGTTGATGCTGCTTTGAACAGTATTTTGATTCTGCAAAAGAAGCTAGCATCGGAGCACCCCGACATCACTTGGGACGTTCAATCTATGGTGGAGTTCGTCATATCCTACATGGAGAGTGGGCACCCTGTGATGGACGAGGCGCCCTCTCTGACCCCCGTAGCGAGGAATGCCATTACCATTTCCTCATGTGGCACCTCTTTCGTTACGATCACCGTTCGATTTTCCTCAAAATCCAAAGCCGTTGCTAACTTGGTCAAGGCATCTGCATGGGCATTCTCCTCCCTTGGGACATGTGTGAATGTTACGTCACGGAACCAGGCGCTCTTCTTACGAACGACATGCACGTAGGTTCCTAACGTTTCCCCCTTCACTTCATAGACCTCATTCAGCTGATTAACCACTAGTGCCGAATCGGTTTTGACGTTCACTTTCTGG